TAAATTGATGTATAACAGAATCTGAAACCTTAAAATCCCAAAGTTACAAAAGTGTGGTTTACATAAGTGTATATCGCTCAGTTACAAGGAAAAGCAACATGCAGAGAAGAAAAAAGTGGTGTCACCCTATGTCTTATTATAGCAGAATTCCTAATGACACCAGCAACCAAGGTCCAAGTTTCACCTGTACTCTTGACTCTCAGCCCAGTCTCCGTGTAAGGGGGAAGGATAAGGTCATTTTAGGTAAACCTTCTTTTAAAACTGAATGCCTGCTATGTACATACACAGCTGTTGACCAAGGTTCAAAAATTCCAATCTGGGTGAAGAAATGTCACCCATAAAATTTTAAGTTGCTAAATGTGTCATAATGAGTAACAAAGACAATGCAAACAGAAATGGAGAAAGTCCGGAGGTGAGAGCCCACCGCAATGCCTCCGGGCTGGAGGCCATGGGAGAGCTGACCAAGATGGGGAACAGACACTGACACCACTTGCTGAGGGGTCAAAAACAAGACCAATGTGGCAGAGAATAATCACAGCATTAATAAAAACTGGGAAACCAGGATGGTGTGAGATAATTCTGACCTGGACATGCACAGTGCCTGCGGGTGGCTGCACACACATGTGAAGGAAGACACCCCACGGGCGACTAGAAAGCAGTGACTGACGACTAAGGCAGGATGATAACCAAGAAGCACAAAGTCATGGAAATGAAAGGAGAAAAGTTCCAAGAAGCAGCTATCAACAGTGTCTGATGCTGCTTAAAACAGATAGTGAGGAAAAATTCAGCCCCAGAAAAAAGGCCTCTCCATCTGCCAAGGCCGGTCAGAAAGCTCAAGCCACGTGTAGATGAAAAAGTTTCTAAAATATCAAGCACTCAGCAATGATTTAATTTTTCCCCAAGAGTAGTTTGGCTTATTACTACTCCGGATGATAACAAATTAGATGATTTTACATCTACTCTCAAAGCTGATCTTTTTTGGCAAGAGTCTATGAGGACCCACTGAAAGGATTATAAAGAGAAGGAAAATAGTCATTAACAAGAGAAAGAGAGGACACACTTTTTCCAACTACAGGATTCCAAAGCTTCTGGCAGTAGCAAACAGCTTTTAGTAAAAGTAAGCCAACAAAAGTTCATTAGTGAAGCAGCTTTAACAAAGTAACGTTCTACTTACTAGGCTCAAATTAAAGAGTAGCCATTCTACCACCATACAAAAGATTAAAACTCACTCTTAAGAAAATCACTTCTAAAAATATTTTTACATTACAAATAATTTGATTAGAAAAAAAATACCACTCCTAATCAATCCTACCATCCTAAGACAAATCCCCTAATTACATTTTAATCTCTTTTCTTGTGGCCTTTATTACTAAGTATTTTGTTCATATGCTCTGTAGATAAAACATTTTTGGACCTTCCTCCTGTGTCTGTCACAAATACAAACTTAAAAACAAAAATTTCTACACAAAACTAAAGTATCCTGGGTGGCTCAGATGGTTAAGCGTCTGCCTTCAGCTCAGGTCATGATCCCAAGGTCCTGGGATCGACCCCCACATCGGGGGAGCCTGCTTCTCCCTCTCCCTCTGCCTGCCACTCCCCCTGCTTGTACTCTCTGTCAAATAAAAAACAAAAAAATCTTAAAAGAAAAAAAAATGTATCCAGCAAACAAGTTTAAAAGTCCTAATAAAGAGTATCAAACTTTGCCTTACCATTAATAGCCAATTAATAATACATGTGACATTGAAATTTGTCACAGACTAAAACAACCATATTCCTGGAAATTTATCCAAGTTTATTATCTACTAGATACATAAAATGTAGCTTTTTATTTATAATAAATTAAAAGACAACCATGCCTTCCAAAAACCCATTTGACAGTGAAACTTTATTACCTGATATAAGATGCTCTTTTAAAAAGCTCCTATTTGCTGGCCACAATGGGCAAATTAATAAATCAAAATACTACTGGGGCGCCTGGGTGGCTCAGTCGGTTAGACATCCGACTCTTGGTTTTGGCTTAGGTCTTGATCTCAGGGTCGTGTCATCGAGTCCCGCATTGGGCTCGGTGCTTAGTGGAGTCCGCTTGCCTCTCTCCTGCTCCTCTCTCTCTCAAATAAATATCTTTTTAAAAAAATCAAAATACTACTAAAAATTATATGTTTAACATACATACACATATTTTCATACGTATTTTTATATTTTTACTACACATATCTATTTTCACTATGCTCAATATCTAGATCTTAGCTTCAAGAAAAATTTTGACACCAATCCAGAATAAGTGAGTTATCTGTAGTAATCATAGTAACTTCTTCCTCTCCCAACTCTTTCAAAATCCTTACAAACTGTAGAGCACAGCCAAAATATTCTGAAAGGTCCCTTTTCTCTGAAATAATTATACAGCCCCACTGATCAGTAAAATTGGATGTTAAGATACAGGAATGTTAAAACATCCAGGATGTTAAGGCAAGGAATGGCTCATGCTTCTGACTTAAGGAAATGAACATCTAGTCCAAACATAAAAAACTGCATTAAATAATGCACTTAGCTATTTCTGCTGTTTTTCTTCAAGAGACAGTGAGTTTTATTCTGTTGTGAAGATTTTCTAGTGAAATTCTGCTACAACTGACGAAAAATATACAAAATACAAAATACCCAGAGAACCATCATTAATATTGCAGGAAAATTTTAACTTTGAAAAATCACCAGTTTATTCTACTAGAATAAACACAAAAAAATCCTCAGGGCATAAATTGACAAACTGAACTCAGCTACCTTCAGAAATCTGCCCAGCCTTCCTGAAAAAACTCAACAGCACATTTTTAGGGCAAATGCTGTATTTGTGACCTATCAGATGCCAAACTCAGGGTATCACCATCATGTAAAAATCAATCTCATTTCTTCTACTAACTCAAACAAAAACAATACTATAGTTTTATCAGCAAGAAGGCTGAAAGCACAGGCCATTTTTGGAGCAACCTTCACAGAATACTTGATTAGAACCAGACTGTATCGATGATGGGCAGAGGCTTATGTTCTATATTAGTATAATTACCATAAATATCTTGACTCGCTGGTTTGTACATTCAAACTGTTCGTACGGACACAACATGGGCCACAAAAGCTGTTTGATTCTGCCAGGACCACTGACTGATTCAGCCACATCTTTTCATACTTTACACCCTGGCAAGAAATTCTCCCAGCTGAGCCTTACACTTACGGGTATTAGAAATATTCACTAAAACTTATAAACTAAACAAATAGGAAATTAGCAAATATAATTTAGGCTGACATTTCTCAGACAAGGGATTTGTTAACTATACCCAGAAAATTAGCATATATATGGCTGTGGGGGGGGGGAACAGCAGAAGGATAATATAACCTTAATGTTTTATGAGACTCAATCATTATTTTATTTCCCTGTGCTAATGGCCCATGAAGACAGTCATTCGCTCAAACAAATGTTAAGTCCCTACTGTGTGCCTGGCGCTGTATAAGGTTAAGAACAGAGAAGCAAGGACACAATACCTGCCAAGAACTACCTGGAACAAAAGGAGACATGCCCATTAAATTATTGTACTGTTTCAGCTTTATTGGACATCAACTACATGCCAGACCGTACTGGACACTAGGGACACACAATAGTAACAATCATCTAACTGCAGAGCTGTAACCAATCAATGAACTATGACAGTAACAGTCCTGACTAGTCCTAAAGCAGCAATATTTTATTCTGGAAATAATCTTGCCTCTGTCAATTAATTCTTTCAATAGATGGCAATTCTCTGAATAATTTCCACCTATGTTAATCCAGACTACGGTTGCTTACAGAGTTAAATGAGAGAATGGAATGTTTTGAACAGTAGAGAGAAACACATTTGTACTTTAATTTGGTTTGCATTTAGCTATTGCCTTCAATAACGATAACAAGTGACTTAAATCATAAAGCAGAACACCAACCGGAAAGTTACCGTGGCAAGACATTATTTTCTTGTAGTGGCAGTTTAGTGGAAAGTGGAAGCTAAACTAACAAGTTCTGCTTAGCTTTTTAAAAACCATTCACTTCTGGTGATTTCTTTGTGAAAGCTCTGTGACCACTCATTTCCCTAGGCTCAAAAACAGGTAGCGCCGACACAACTACAGATTTGGTCCTCTAGGTTACAAAATAATTTTTAACCCTGTAGAAGTACCAGTTTTACATTAGTATCATTCGATACTAATGATTTTTTTTTTTAAATAGGGGTCAGTTCTTAACTAAATTACAATAAAGGTATGCAAACTAGAAACAGTATTTGTTTTTAAACTCTGCCACATTAAAGATGACACCCAATCTTAAAATAAATTAAAAATGTAAACAGACTTCCAATAGCTTACCAGAGAATTAAACAGAATTGTATTATATATACCGAACTGCTAGCTAAACAACCAATACTGCAAAGCGATAAAGGAGAGAGAAGCTGAAGAAACAAGATTCCTCTTCAAGAAATGTTTGAACAAATTCAAAGTAAAATTTTGTAAGCTATGTTTTGAACCCTTTCCACCAGTCTTGCTATTTTTACTACATTTTCTATGTGCACGCCGTTATCAAAACCACAACCAAAGGGGGGAAAGTGTCCTAAAATTTTAGTATTAACAGCAATCAAGTCTAAAAATATGCCCCTCCTACACAGTGAGCCAAGTGGCAAGAAGATACGAGAACTCAGGAAGTTTTGAAAAGGCAGTGACAGCAGTCAAGAGGAAAGACAAGGGGAAGGAATCACGGAGAACAAGAAAAACTCCGTGCAGCCAACGCCGCGAGTTGGCACTGGAACTGCAAGTTCCCGGCTCGGGACGGGACTCGACCGAGCAACTTTGCGCCGGACGGAGCTGCGCGCTCGGCCGCCCTCCGAGCCCGGAGCCGCAGCCCTTCCTCCCCGCTCGCAGCCCGGCGGCCGCCTCCGCGAGGGCGCGCTGACAGCCGCGGGGCCGGGCCTGGGAGATGCCGGCCGGCTGACACCCACCTTCCTTCTCCGCCCGCGCCGCGGCCACTACGAGGGTCATCACCAGGTGCAGCGCTCCCAGTAGGCCGGCGGCCGCGCTCCGTGGGCCCCCGCCGCGGCTGGCCGCGGGCTCCACACCGGCCCCTGCGGACGTGGAGGCGGCGGCGGCTCCTGCTGCTCCTCCTCCAGCCCGCTTCCCCATCCCTGCCGGCCGGGGGCCGCCGCGCTCCAAGTCCGGCGCGGCCCTTCTCGGCGAGGCGGCGGCAGCGGCGGCGCGGGAGCCGTGGTCCAGGCTTTGGACGCGGCGCCGGGGGCGAGAGCGGTTCCGGGCCCAGGGCTGGGGCTCCGGGCGTGGGTCCGGGTCCGTGCGTGCGTGTGAGCAGGAGTGTCAGTCACGGCCTCGGCCTTGGCATCGCCTACGAAGAGTCGAAGCGGAGAGGCCACGGGTCAAGCACGGCGGGCGGCCATACTGGAAACGGGCACGGGCCGCGGGCTCTGGGCGCTGGCCTGCGAGGGGCGGGGCGCGGCCCTGGGCACCGCCCCCGCCGTACCGTCACCTAGTGGGCCAGCAGGTCAGTCTGTCTGCCCCGGAGTCCGTGGGTCCGAATTTCTTGTCCCGCTCTCGGAGGCCCACGGCTTCACCGGCCGGACAGGATGCGGGCAGTACAACCCCAACCTGTCACCGCTGTCCCGCGAAGGAGGAGGAGGGAGGCAGGCCCGGGCCCAGCCGCCAGGACTTATGATGGCGGTTCACGCTTCGCAGAGGCAGTGACGGCAATCACGTGGAGACAAGGAGGCCTTGCCGCGCAGCCGCCTTGGGGTGTGGGCGGGGCCGGGAGGTACATTGGGGAACTAGGGGTGGTTCGCCCGCTGCTCCAAGGCGGGAACTAACCACTTGCGTCTCTGGTACTGCAATGCGAGAGCCATCCAGAGGACTGGGTGCGCGTCCGGACCTCGAGGCCCAGCGCGGAAAGTCCATTCCAGTGACTCCTCCGCGTCTCACTTCCACCTTTCGGGCCGCCTGAGAATACTCCTGGCCTGATTCAGTTCCTGGCGCTTCCTTGAGGACTGGGACCCACTCCGTTCATCGTTATATCCTCAAGACACACTACCCAGAAGCGCTTAATGGAATCATCTTGCTCTTGGAATTGTGCCTGCTTTGCTGCGGGAAAATCCTTTGCTGTGTGTATATAAAGCAGCAGTGACCCTGGACGGGGAGGGCCGATCGTTCTTTAGAAAGTGCCCAGTGGCCATGCTGGCTTTGACCGTCTTGGAAATTCTTAAGACGTTTTATACAGCTAGTGCCTGCAAGGCCCAAATCAAACGCCTTCTTTAGTATCCTTCGGGAAGCCTTCTTCTGCCTCTTTCCAAGGAAAATAAGATTTCAGAAAGGCTTACAAAAGAAACTCAAAGTGCTACCCTATGCAGTAGTCTTCTTTGTCAAGCAAGCACTTAAGTTTTTTATTTATAAATTAATATATTTTTAATAGCATTACCCTAATGATTTTGAAAAGCAATTGTCTTTTCCTGAATATTAGTGTTAAAATTGAATAATCAGATTTTGTTCTCCATGTAATGTAGGAATAATTATCTCCAAGTTGGATTTTCTGTATTTGTGTATGTAAGGAAAGAGATTTCTAGAAGGCTTTTAACTTGCTAAAGAAATCAAGCCCAAGGAAAAGTAACTTGAGTGCCTTAGCTGGGTCAAAGAGTACTTTCCAATGTGCAGCACAAAGAGTTGGCAACCCTCCCCCCATCACCAGGTTCAGGGCAGACAAGTCTCTCTGACTATGAAATGCTCAGGTTCTCTTACACAGGAATCAACTACATCCCCTGACTAGCCTGAGGCTCAAGAGCCACATGGGAAATAACTTGCATATGTCTGTAATTGGAGCTTAGACATATACAGACACGTTTGATCAGAGGCCAATTTCCCATGAAGCTAGTGAAGCTTAAGTTTTAGGGCTCCTCTCCTGCATAAGTTCCTTCCAAGGCCTTCCACCTAACTGTGTATTTATAAAGCTTTAATCTTGTTCTTAATGGGCACTCCCCAATGGTTGTAGAAGCTTTTAGAGCCTGCTGTATCTGAACCTTCCCTGTACCTAATGGACTTTGGGAGCCAGAGGGATGATAATGGAAGTCTGTTTCCCAGAAAGGAAAAGGAGACTGCTGGGAGAATAATAATAAAAGAAGAAGGACTTACTAGACAGCTCGGTAAACTGTTGAGCAGCCGGGGTTGAGCCACCATCACCCCATTATCCCCTCTCCCCCAACACTCATGTTCCTCGGGAAGGAGAGAACTAGGAGTTAAAACAGAAGAAATGATCACCGAGGACCCTTCTGAAGTTCTTGATTAGCTCCAGACCTCCCTTCTCCCCTTTGGGGAATTAGAGAGACCTGGGCATTTGGCAGGTGGAGGCAGGCTCTTCAGCTGGCAAAATTAGGGAAAACCTGCTAAACCAGCGGTTCTCAAAGTGCTAGAGCAGCAGCGTCTGCATGACCTGGGAGCTTGAGATCCAGCGATCCGTTTTAACAAGCCACCTGAGTGATTCTAGTACATGCTCAAGTTTGAAAACTGTTGATGTAAGCCAGGAACTATAGGTTGTTGGGACTTCTCATCTTCTACTTGCTTTGCTCTCTAGCCAGATTAGTAAGCTTCTATTAGAAGCAGAGTTAAAAGGAACTCAGATGAATTTGGGCTTAAATCCCAGCCCTGCCTTTACTAGCTATATGATGATAGGCAAATTGCTCAACTTTTCTGGCCTCACTTTCCTTTTATGTAAAATGATACCTAATAAATTTGGGAAGATGAAGCAAGATATGTTTGTAAACGTATAGACTATGCCTGGCACAGAGTAGGAGATTATCAGGGGTAGCTATTGAGTACTTATTTTTTCAAAACGCCATATTAGGCACAGTGACAGTTTCAAAGATCATTGATTGATTTATACTCCCACATCACTCGCAAAATATTTGAAGAGGCTTACAAGAATACTTGCATTTAGTAAAAATACATTTGAATTAAAATTGGGGACCAAGAGGAGGAAACACTGTTGGAAGTCCCATGGCTCTACCTCCCTGGCTCCCTAGTTGACTGCATGTGGTCTCCTGGTGTTGGACGCTATGCTTTTTCAAGTCCCAACTTCAAGTCACTAGCCAGACCTTGCTGTGTCTATTGCTGATCCCACCCCAGCATCTCATAGATGTCTGAAACTCACATGAACTCCTAAGCGCCCCCAGCTTGCTTTATCCACAGCTTTTCCCATCTCCAGAGCAACTCCGACTATCCAGTTGCATAGGCCATAAACCTAAGAGTTATTCTTTACTCATCTCTGTGTATATCCAGAATCTAGCCATTTCTCACCACCTTCATGGCACACTCTGGTATGAGTCGCATCATCTTCTGCCAGGAATTCTGCAAGAACTTCGTAACAGTTTCCCCTGTTTCCAGCTACTTTTACAGTGAAAAGTTTTCACTCATAGCACCTGCCTAACGGAAGGCTGTGTTATACTTCAACGGGTTCAAGCCAACTGAAGCTGATAAAGGACTGTGAACTTCGAGTGACCCCTAGACCAGACCCTTATTAGACCTGACTGAAGACTTGTTCCTGTCCAGTGAACAAAGAGCCTTGTTTTATCCAACGCTGTTCTTTCCTACCCAGAGTCCTGGTTTTCCGTCTTTAATTAGCATAACCACCTCGAACCCCTTTCCCTCTCTCTAAGACTTAAAAAACCCTGGCTTTTCCCACTTCCCAATTATTTACTCAGTGAATTTTTTCACTGGTGTATTTCCTTGCTTGACAAGTATATGGACGCAGCTTTGATTTTTCGTTCTTTTAGTTCTGGTGCTCTTTGCGTGATGTTTTGACATAAATTTGCACACTTATTGTCAACACAGCAGCCAGAATGACCCATTTAAAACATAAGACATCTCATCCTTCCTGCAGTGGTTCTCATCTCAGGGTAAAAGCCAGATCTCTTATGATGATGACCCACATGGCTGTACTGTGATCCTTGACTTCCAGGCTTAGTCTGTTTCAGCTCAGTTGCCACCGTTCTGTTCTTCAAACACACCACGGATGCTTCTGCTCCAGGGTCTATGCCCTAGCTCTTCCTTCTGTCTGAAATGCTTTCTTCTCCACTTCTCTGCTTGGCTCACCCTCTCACTTCTTTTCAGGCTTGACTCAGTTACCACCTTCTCCGTGAAGCCTACTCTGATCACCATTGTTAATACTGCAGTTCAATATGCCCACCCCCAAGTCCAGTCCTCCTTACTCTTTGCTCATTTTTCTCTTTTTCCCATAAAACTTATCACTTTCCCTAATACCATATATTTATTCATTATGTATCGCCATTACCTCTCACCCCCATCTGTTTTGTTCACTGGTGTATCCCAAGCTTCAGGAATGTACTAAGCACTTACTAACACTTAGAGAGTGAATGAATGAATGAGTGGATGGAAGGATGAATTAATTAATGATTAGAACTAAAAGATAAAGAGCAGTAAGACATACTCCTTCCACTCCATGGCACTTAAAATCCAGTGGATAAGATAGAAATGTACACACTATAATAGGAGGGAGGGAACCAAAGGAGAGAAGAGGAGAGAGACTATGAAGGCAATCTGGGTTCTGCCAATTCCTTTATGTACCCAGCCTTTTCGACATCTTCAACTGATTTTTCTTTGTTTTCAGTTGCATGTCTCTTTCATCTAGTTCAGATATGCATAAAGCCCACAGCAATCAGGTGAATAAGAAGAAAGATAGCATATTAAGAGTTCTCTTCAGGGGCGCCTGGGTGGCTCAGTCGTTAAGCACCTGCCTTCGGCTCAGGTCATGATCCCAGGGTCCTGGGATCGAGCCCCGCTTTGGGCTCCCTGCTCAGCGGGAAGCCTGCTTCTCCTTCACCCACTCCCTCTGCTTCTGTTTCCTCTCTTGTTGTGTCTCTCTCTGCCAAATAAATAAAATCTTTTAAAAAAAAAAAGAGTCTTCTTCAATATACAGAGTGATCTCTTCATTTTGTCTGCTGTCTTATTCCTTGTTAGGTTTCTTTTGGTGGTGTTCTTTTAAAAAAGAATCAACTCACAAAGCCCCAGGTTTAAGTCTGCTCCGCTTACTATGTAAATCGCAGCAGCCTAGGGTAGGGCAAGTAAACAGAGAGGTTTATGCTGTAGGATGAGGATAGTGGTTTATGAGGTGGTGAGCTGAGCTCACTAGGTGGACTCTATCCTATTTGAAGCTCTTTACCGTATGTTCCTCAAGACCCGATTCCTTTGCAGTTTCCAAATTCACGTGAACTAAGGCGTCATCAAAGACAATAACCGCTACCACATATACATCTCTGCTAACAAGCATCTTGATTTCAATGCTAGAATTGACTACAGTTTTGTTTCATATGTTTCTTTCAAGCTGACTGACACATTTTATAAGCCTATAGTAATCTTTCTAGCATTTGTAAGAAATATTTTTGTGGTAAACATCCTAATTT